TTTTATATATATATATATATATATATATGAAATTTTCAATTTGTATATGAAAAATTAAATAATGAGAACTGTGATATGACATTATGAAACAAGTAAAATAATAAATCATGAAACATTGTTATTATTCTGTTGTTTGTCACTCACTACATAAACCCTTATTAACTAATCTCTTCTTATACTGTAGAGGTCCACACGATGCTGGATGCCCTCCTCCCCCCGAACACTTATTTTCGTTTTAACCCTTACATGAGTGAGGAGATCCCATTGGACGAGAGCAGACAGGATAGGCTGGACGTCCTGCAGGCTGAGGGTCAGCAGTACCTGGAACGTAACGAGAATAAGTTAAAGAAAGTGGCTCGTGTTCTCACTCAAGAAAAGGGCATCGTTCAGAAACTAGCCGAATGGGCCCAACTTAAAGCTGACATGTACGATGGCCTTCCTTTTCGCTCCAAACTCTGAAACTCACACTCTAAACCAAACTAGCACCACTGACCTTTTCCATTGCCTATTTAACATTTAACAAGGTAATGTAACTGTGCGCTGCAGTGGAATTACGTGTTACATGTTGCCATATGGCAGTTTAAAACAGAGAATCAAGTCTGTTGCCTCATACTGACGAGCACATAAGATTGAAAAGGTTCATCAGGTCTGATGTTAAGGCTGTATTGTCATTGTAAGAAAAGTTGTCTTGTTTGAAACGAAAAGCCTTGAAAGCATTAAATGTTAGCGGCAACATTGACTAGCTAGCACTTGCATTTGCTGCTTTTCATTTGTTGGGAAATGCTAAAGTAATTTTGATCCGTTAATTTGCAATAGGATAAAGTTGCTGTTGTGTAGTGTCTCTCCTCTAAAAACCTTTAGTAATAGTCGACTGAACTGACAATACTGTAGTTAGCATGAGGTGAGCTGCTAAATGCACAGACTTAAAGTGTGTGTAAATCATTTTCAACCACTTAATTTAATTTATTTAAATTCAAATGATCAACCTTGTAATTGTAATTTTTATATAGCACTGATGTTTTAAAGATTTTGCACACAGTGTTTCGAAAGCACTCATTGCAGTCGTGTTATCACTGAAGATGGCTTGCATTGATTATTGTGGAAATACTAATGAAATGATCATTGATTTCGCGTATTATGTTTGAATGCCTCAGCTGCTTTCCAGTACACATTTTTATTTGCTTCTGCGTGCACTTAGCTGGAAAATATTTGACATAATTTATTGGTTCTGTTCAGATTGAGTGTAAAATATTATTAATCCTTGAATGCTTAAAATGAGTGTGTAAAATTATAACAGTGTTGTAGATTCAGAAATAAAATTTTCCTAACACCTTAAAACTGTATTCCCTGATGATTATGAAGACAAATAAATGATTTTAAACTTCAGTTTGTTTAATGGTTTATAGTTCTTCTCACAAAAGATGTCACATAAGTATATAAATCTTTTTTAGATTGTTTTTACGATATTTTCTTTCCTCCTGATATTGATAAAGAGCGCCTATCATTGGAAATCCACAATTTAGATAATTTATAATTATAATTACAATTTATGCATTTAGCAGACGCTTTTATCCAAAGCGACTTACAGTGCATTCAGGCTATACATTTCTTACCAGTATGTTATTCATAATTATTAATAAATAATACTAGATATTATTTATCAGTTTAATTAAACTGAAAGGTATGTATTTCTGCACTTTATTCTATTTGTAATTAATCTGGGAGTATTTAGTAGCTTTTTAGCAGCCTGTCAAGTATGCAGTCAAACACATACACTGTAAAAAAAAAAATCCGTAAAAAACCGGCAGCTATGGTTGCCAGAATTTTACCGTAAAAAATATGGTAGCAACGTTTTAGGTTTTTCACTTAAATACCATAATTTCATTAACTGATATAATGTTAATATACCAACCTATTGAAGTACTGAAATCTGTATTTTTCACTTCCAAACGGTATACTACCGTAAAATTTATGTCCAATACATGTAATGTCCAATACAGTTTTTCACCGTATATAGTAGGGGAATTTACCGTTAACCATTTAACAGGTTTTTACAGGCATTTACAGTCTTTTACCGTTAAATTCAAATATATTTACATTTGTAGCCCAAAGAGAAATATAAAAGCCACACAGCATTTATACACTGAAAAAAAATGGTGTAGAAACAATTTTCATTGAGAAATTGTTGGTAAATTTAGTAAAACGTAGTCATTTTGTTACAACTTCTTAAGAAATATTTTTTTACAGCATAGACAGAAAAGCAGGCACATACTGTAAATCAATGTTATACAAAAAAGGTCAGTAAGTTGGTTATTTTCTCAGCTATGTAGCCTAACCTGAAGTGAGGGATGTGTCTTATCCATGGAAACATTCAATGATGTGTCAAACCCCACAGGTGAGTGTGAGAAGAGGCTGTATTTGATAGAAATATGCTCAATTCTGCATTTCAGTGTTACTGGGGGATGCCATACATACATGTGAGATGGCAGACTATTCCTCTAAGAAAACTGCAGGGGAAATGGCCACTTCTTTTTTTTTTTTTTTTTTTTTAAAAATTTTTTTTTTTTTTTTTTTTGAACAATTTCTAATCTGGATTGTATCTGCTCCATATTTTGTTACTATCAGCCAATGCAGTTTTTGTCATGATCCATAATCACACAGATGTGAGAATGTCAGTGTTCTCAGCTGAGAAGGTCACTGGCTGTTAGATCCATCGATCGAGTAAGAGCAGATAGGAGCATGTCTGACTCGACTCTTGCATCATCCACCTCCCAGAATCCCCTCAGGCAGGCAATGGAAAACAGACTAGAGCCTTCTGACACATTCAGCATCAAATGTGACTAATATGTCACTAAGATGATTTCAGTATTATTCTTTTCTGTAGCGGAAATGAATATTTTACATCTTATTTGTGTATCTGAATTGTTGTCACACTCTTCTACTTTGTAAATTCATATACAAAGTGATATGTCAGTCCCCTATGTAATATAGACCCGTTCCCTAGCAACCATTTCTCCACCTTCACAAGATCCAGGTTTAAAAATGTTGGGCTTCAATCTCTTGATTCACTTCTCTACCGTAAGGTTTATGATATTTTCTGTTCCGGCTCAAAGAGTTGCTCTCAATCACTTTCACACCTGTGGTCCGGAAATTTGAAGAAACTTTCAAATTTAGTCAAAAATGTGATGAAATACAAAATAAAAACATATCACAAAAAACAAACGAGACTGAACGACAGAGTCATATGCAAATTAGGCATGATGAAGAAGCGGAGGACAACGTTTATTTACACATAGGTGAGTAAATGGAATCACGCTAACCATTCCTTTATAATTAAATGAATGGTCAATAGTCTGATTATAATGCGTCTTTTACAGTGCTGGGTATTTACTGATTACATGTATTCTGAATTACGTAATCAGATTGAGTACATTGAGTATTATATTACATTTTAAAATGCTCATAATCAGATTACAGTTACTTATATGGATTACATTATTATATATTATTCATAAAATGGTCTTTTTTTTCTTTTAAAGCTTCCTTTCCATTAGCAAACAGCCTATCGGTTGGCTCTGCTCTGGTACAAACTGTATGGATTATTTCTAGATGATGTATGTCTTCAAATCTGTCTGCAAACCAATTTAGGAAGTGGGAAGTATAAACAAAGCCAGTCTGCATTTGCTCAGAGACATGTGAGCTAGAATTATATTGAGAGCACACTTGAAGTAGCCTATCAGTGCAAACTTTCTTGTTTAAAAATACTCTTGAAAGTTTTGAAACTGGTTAGTCTTTAGTTTCTATGTCTTTTATTTTCACTTTCACTACATGCTACTCTATTTTTTTTCTCTATCTCTTGTGCCTTGTATTCCTCATATTTCCCAGATAGTACAGATGTCCCATGACATTCTGGACTCTTGAGAACAATCATGGTTTCATGCACAGTAAGTGGTGCATCTATTCAGATTTTGAGAAGACGTGGCTGGGTATCAGACATGATGCTGTACAGTGGGAGGACTAACATGCTCATTTTCACTTGTACTGCCAAACCAACACTATAAATCAGATGTCCTGCATAGAGGGAAAAAAAATCACAAAGCAACGCTACCCATCTGCACAAACACGTGCCTAAATATGGCTTTGACGAAGTAATTTAGAAAATTGTGTAGACTGGAAATTGTAGATTTGAGTTGGATTGGTTTTCTTCCATGACTACTTTTAATGACAAGCTTATAATTCATTATTTTAACAACGATAACTTATTTTCTTGCATGTTACTGATATTGTATACATTTAAAGGTTTTTTAAAACTCTAATTTTTTGGTTCACCAATGCAACATTTAATTGATTAAAAGATACACTAAGAACTGTTTGAAATGTCTATTTTTTATGTCTTTGAAATTTTTTTTTTTACCTGTCATGCCAAAACCCCCAATTTGAGAAGTATTTCTCCAGTCTACAAAGAAAACACTACAAAATCCTTCAATCATTCTGATGAGCTGTGTGCCTCTCTGTGTGTGTGTAATATCTATACACACAGAATATATTATATTATTTTTTTAATATAGTATATATATTTTTTTTTACATATGTAAAATTAAATATATTTTGTTTTATATATTTTAAATTATATCATTGAATATTATGGAAGTTATGTTGTTTTACTTTAATTAGTAAAAACGAATTGTAAATGGATGAATTTAAAGGCATAATTCACCCCAAAAATGAAAATACTATGGAAGTCGATGGCTACCCGCAGCTGTTTGGTTTCTACCGTTCTTCAAAACATCTTTAGTGTTGAACAGAAGAAAGAAACTCATAGGCTACAGGTTTGGAACATTTTCATTTTGGGGTAAACTATCCCTTTAAGTTTGAGGAGCCTCATCCATCATTTATAAGAATAAGCCTTTCTTTGAAAAACAAACAGAATTGAACAAATACAGCATTTGAACCATAATTCTTTTTAAGTTAAGAGTATAAAAAGTGTCCAGTAGTGCTGTTTGTGTGTGTCCTGCTCCAGTGCTCCAAGTGCTCCAGTGCTCCAGCGCTCCCGTCTGCCTGAAGCTCCTCGTGCGCTGCAGCTGCGCCTGCACTGAGCGTGCGCGTTTGACAGCAGCAGCAGGAGCGCTCGAGGAGAAAGAGAAGCCAAACGTACATCAATCCCGTGAAACCGGACGGGTCGAGGATTCATCACTGGAATCGGTGAGTTTCACGGTTCTTTATCTTGAATGCGGCGTTATTCTTTCCGTGTTCATGGCGAGACGCGTTTGGGAAGGAGAATGCGCAGTAGGCGCAGTATTTGAGTCGACGAGGAGCATCCAGTCGGGCTTCTCCCATGGCAACCAATGATGATGCGGATTTTCACGGCGATATGGCAGGCATCACAAAGGATAATGTGAATCTTCGTTTTAAATGAAGCTTTCATTGTGTGTCGTGCTGATAAACGGCCCAACATGAAAGTCTGTGTTTAATTGAAATCTTGCTCGGTCACCAGCAGGTGTTCTCGTCATTTAAAGGCATCATCCCTCAATATTTGTTCATTATGCCGCATTTCTGAAATGTAAATATTTGATTTGGGTATTTATTCATTTTCATTTGAGAACTAGATGGACCTGCTTTCATGGCATGAAGGCAAAAAAACCAGCCGTTTACAGTCATACTATATTATAGTATATAGTATATTTCCCTACAGAAGACAACGGGAACAAGGCTCTTTCATTACAGCATCTTTCTTTCCTGTCCTTCTTTCTTTTTTAAAATATTCTTTTATAGTCTACGTTTAATGGCATTTTCCATTAAAAGGTTGCAAATGGGACCTAAACTCTTAAAAATGTACATATTTGTTATTGTGCACTTGTATTTGAACATATTGTGAAAGGACAATTGTCCGCCTCTGTGTTGTCAACTGAATATTATTTAAGCTGTTTTATTTTCTATTCTCTTTCTTTGGTGTTCATAGCTTTTGCAACACTGTTACCAAAATATTGGACCTGTCTAAAAACAGTTTAAACCGGTTTTTGTAGTTTTACTTACATTAAATAAACATCTAAAATAGCTTATAATGTTTTAATAATAAATAAATATACAAACAAATTATACCAGTAAGAGGGTGGCAAATTTAGCCCAAAAATAAATTATTGTACAGTAGTAGCCATATGTTGGATGATCAACATGTTGGGATATTTAAAGTATATTTCCCGTAAATTGTTTGACTTTTTTTTTCTTATAATAATGTAGGTAACACGACTGAATCGAATGGTTGATCTTGACACATGCAGTCGACAACGATTTTGAGAAAATGTAATATTTGAATTTACTCTGTGCTGTAAAAAGAGTCCGAAAATGAATACATTTCTGTAAAATTCCTTTTGGTAGTTGTGTGTAAAAAAAAATCAAGCATGAAGAAACACTGAAATATTGTAAACCCACAAACAAAGAATGCAAAAGTAATTTTCTGTCAAATGATGAAACCACAGGCCTTCTGCATTGGTCAGTGATTTTAATGGGCCTCAGGTGTAATTTACTGTAATACAGGCAACATTAAGTCAAAGATGTCAGGATGTGGCCTGTTTATGAGGTTACCGGCTGTTGTATGTCAAACATGTTATTTAATTAGAATTGGTGATGCTATTTAGAGTTATTTTTAAATAACTCTTCAGGACATAGTCTAATTAGCAAAACATTTATTGCACTTCATTATATTTTGTGACTATTCACTGCAGGTCAACACTAGTGCTATTTCATTTGGACACTGGAAAGTCACACATTGCAGGTTAGGGCAATATATTGTATGGATGGTTTGTGCTCTGCACTAATTCATTGTAATTTTTCATGCATTTTAAATACTCTGATGGCTTCACAGGTGACCTGCAGGCGGTCTAACATCGACATTAACATCAACTGAATGATGATTAATGAATGAGAAAATATGGGACATTTGCTTTCATGTCCTAGGCAATGGGAAATTATAATGCATGTGTGCATAACAGCTGTTACTTTGTGTGCTGCAGAGCCACAAGTCCCTTGTGATGAGAGGAGTTTCCCATTTAGATTTTCATAGCAATTTTTAATTAGCATTTGCACAGGGATGTAACAACAGAAATTAGACTGTGTGAGAGTGAATGCTAGTATAATGCAGTTGAGAGACAGGAACAGAAAGCCATTTGTGGAGCAGGTTATTTATATTTAAGAGTGTAAATATTTTTATTTTATGTTTGATTTGATATTTTATTATTTATTATATTATATTTTATATTATTATTATTTTTTAATTTTCATTTATTTATTTTACATTTTTGATTTATTTTTAAATTGAATTTGATCATTCTTTTCTAGCTCTGAAATTGTTTTGGAACAATTCATTACTTCATTGCAAAAGTATACTTTTCAATTAATATATTTGTCACTGCTCCGTCAAATGCATCTACTTTGGAAGTAGATTGGAAATCTGAATTTGGATTTTTACAGATTTTGTTCAGTTTTGTTTGGAATAAGAACTTAACTTTCTATTCTATTTAGTTATTAAGTTCCATCATTTATGACTTTTTTGTTAGGTTGCTGCATTTTAACCTGTTTATATCAAAATTATGCTCCATGAAATTGAATTCTGAACAGAGTCCAGGTGGAGCCACATCAAATGCTTTTTTGGGGGTTTTTGGATGGGAATTTATAGCAACGCTGATGAAGCACAACAGGCACCAGGTACGTGCCGCCAAGCCAGCTGTGCTTCATCATGGACCTTTGCCTTAGCCATGCACTTTCCACCATCTGGTATGAAGTGACTGGACAATAATGCACAGAGAGGATCACAGGGAAAGAAGTAAATAGCTTGTGCTGAGGTTTTGGAGTGTTTATTTGTGACTGGTTTAAATGCTGGATATTTACATTTGCACCAGCTGTCATCGGCATGGCAGGCTAGACATTTGCATGCTGGTAATTGCTTTGCAAACATGCCACATGTGCCTTGTGACCTGATTTTAATGCATCATAGATTCTGAGCTGGATTTAAGGGGCATGAACTCAGTGTAACACTAACTTACTGTAGGTGTGGTAGTAGTTTTTGTGAGAGGAATTGCCAGGGGAAATGTAACAGGTGTTACATGATGATTAATGAATGAGAAAATATGGGACATTTGCTTTCATGTCCTAGGCAATGGGAAATTATAATGCATGTGTGCATAACAGCTGTTACTTTGTGTGCTGCAGAGCCACAAGTCCCTTGTGATGAGAGGAGTTTCCCATTTAGATTTTCATAGCAATTTTTAATTAGCATTTGCACAGGGATGTAACAACAGAAATTAGACTGTGTGAGAGTGAATGCTAGTATAATGCAGTTGAGAGACAGGAACAGAAAGCCATTTGTGGAGCAGGTTATTTATATTTAAGAGTGTAAATATTTTTATTTTATGTTTGATTTGATATTTTATTATTTATTATATTATATTTTATATTATTATTATTTTTTAATTTTCATTTATTTATTTTACATTTTTGATTTATTTTTAAATTGAATTTGATCATTCTTTTCTAGCTCTGAAATTGTTTTGGAACAATTCATTACTTCATTGCAAAAGTATACTTTTCAATTAATATATTTGTCACTGCTCCGTCAAATGCATCTACTTTGGAAGTAGATTGGAAATCTGAATTTGGATTTTTACAGATTTTGTTCAGTTTTGTTTGGAATAAGAACTTAACTTTCTATTCTATTTAGTTATTAAGTTCCATCATTTATGACTTTTTTGTTAGGTTGCTGCATTTTAACCTGTTTATATCAAAATTATGCTCCATGAAATTGAATTCTGAACAGAGTCCAGGTGGAGCCACATCAAATGCTTTTTTGGGGGTTTTTGGATGGGAATTTATAGCAACGCTGATGAAGCACAACAGGCACCAGGTACGTGCCGCCAAGCCAGCTGTGCTTCATCATGGACCTTTGCCTTAGCCATGCACTTTCCACCATCTGGTATGAAGTGACTGGACAATAATGCACAGAGAGGATCACAGGGAAAGAAGTAAATAGCTTGTGCTGAGGTTTTGGAGTGTTTATTTGTGACTGGTTTAAATGCTGGATATTTACATTTGCACCAGCTGTCATCGGCATGGCAGGCTAGACATTTGCATGCTGGTAATTGCTTTGCAAACATGCCACATGTGCCTTGTGACGTGATTTTAATGCATCATAGATTCTGAGCTGGATTTAAGGGGCATGAACTCAGTGTAACAATAGTTTTTGTGACCAGAATTGCAGGGTAAATGCAACAGGTGTTCTGTTTTTACCTTTCATATCAATCCTGCATGATGATATAGCATATCATTGGGATTACGGATTGTATGAAATGTCTCTGTTGCTTTGTCTTAACATGCTTGTTATTCACCAAAAAGAATAAGCTGACTTTGAGCTATTTTCTCTTGTCGTGGGTTGATAAACGATTAGTGGACTATTTATTAAATATGTTCCCTAGAAGGCATAATTATTGGATTCTGATGGACCGTAACTGATTTTGCTCCTTCAGAGTTGTTGGTTTTACTAAAAAAAGCTGTGATCAGCAAAATTACATGAAGCACTGCTTGTATAGTTACTCGTTTCTCTTAGTTGAAGTGATTTATTTCATGTGCTGTATGATAAGTTTGTACCATTTTAGTCGATGCACAAGCTTCATGCTTCTAATTGAATTACATTATAAAGCACGGTAATTTGGGTGATGAAACCTTCAAGAAATAAGTGGCATGTGTGTGCCTCCTATATGGAGTACTGTATGCTGTGCTGATTAAAATATAAGCTTTTTTAGCTCCATCTGTCTGGCTTGATTTATGATGTACGAGCTGAGGAAAATGCAGTACTGCGAAATGCATCAGGTGAATGTTTACATTTGGTCTGTATTTCTGTATATGTAGGCAATACTATGTTTTATTTTTCTAATAAGGTTAAGATGATACATCTTTTGTTCAGTTTCAACTGTCATCTCATTAACTTTATTTTAGTTTGTTTGTCTTTCAATCCTCTGTCTTCAGCACTAACCACTAATAAAAGTCCTTGCAGAGGAGGAAATGTGAGGTATAGAGTTCAAGTCTAAGACTGTTTATGGGAAAGGAATGTTATCTTTTATGTTTAACCATTATGGAAACCGATATGAGGACACAGTGAGTTCAGCTCAAGTGCATTATAGGCTAAAAAGGCATATCTGCTTGTGAATTATGCT